AAAATTATACGACAAAAGAACATAATTAACATGGAATAAAAATAAAGTAAGTAAATAAAAGCCTGTACATTGAAAAGCAGAAAAAAAAAACTAATTATTCCTCCACAACTTCCGGGTATACCGGATCCATCAAATTCTCCTCCACCACTTGTTCTTCAAAGCCCCCAAAAAATGGCGTAAGTCTTTGGCCATTGACCTTGAATGTATGGTCATTTTTGGGGTTTTGGACATCCACAGCTCTATTGGGGTAGGTCACCTTGACAAAATAGGGGTCATCTCAACGGGATCGGAGTTTGCCTAGGAAAATGGAGAGGCGAGAATTGTACAAGAGTACCTTTTGCCCGGGCTCAAATGATTTTCTCACGATGGAGTTATCATGAAAGATTTTGACCATTTCTTTTGAGATTTTGGAGCTCTCATACGCATCTCGTCGAATCTCTTTCAACTCATTCAGCTCTAACTTCCTACGATCACCGGCCATTCTCAAATTAAAATTTAAAGTCTTAATGGCCCAATAGGCCTTGTGTTCCATTTCGACTGGCAGGTGGCAAGCCTTTCCATAGACAAGCCGGTAGGGAGACATGCCCAAAATAGTTTTAAAGGCAGTGCGGTATGCCCAGAGGGCATCGGTCAATCTATCGGACCAATCCTTCCTGTTTGGGTTAACCATTTTTTCTAGAATGTTCTTGATCTCCCTATTGGCTAGCTCGGCTTGGCCATTTGTTTGTGGGTGATAGGCAGTGGATACTTTGTGAGTGACGCCATATTTGAACATTAGAGATGCAAATGGCCTATTACAGAAATGTGATCCACCATCACTTATTATTGAACGAGGCATCCCAAACCTTGAAAAGATGTTCTCCTTGAGAAACTTGACTACGACCCGGTGGTCATTAGTCTTGGTCGGGATAGCCTCCACCCATTTGGACACATAGTCCACTGCCAGGAGGATGTACAAATAACCAAATGACATAGGGAAAGGACCCATGAAGTCGATGCCCCAACAGTCGAATATTTCTATAACAAGTATTGGTGAAAGGGGCATCATGTTTCTTTGGGTCACACTACCCAACCGTTGGCATTTGTCGCATCCCTTACAAAATGAAACACAATCTTTGATAAGAGAGGGCCAGTAAAAACCTGATTGAAGAATTTTGGCCGAAGTCTTTTTCGTTGAGAAATGTCCACTGCAAGCTTGTGAATGGAAAAATGCAAGGACGTCCCGCTTTTCATTTTCAGGTACGTATCTCCTCGTGATTTGGTCGGGGCAGTACTTGAACGAATACGGGTTGTCGAAGTAGAAGTACTTCACATCTGCCATAAATCGTCTTCGATCTTCTGGGGTCCATTGCGGTGGTATCTTTCCTGTTGCAAGATAGTTACATATATCAGCATACCAAGGACAAATATAATGAATTGACAACAAGTGCTCATCAGGAAAAAAGTCAGGGATAGGAATGTGCTCATCGGCCTCTTGCACCACAAGCCGGGATAAATGATCTGCCACCACATTCTCAACTCCTTTCTTATCCTTGATCGTCAAGTCGAATTCTTGTAGGAGGAGTATCCACCTAATGATTCTCGATTTTGCATCCTGCTTAGACAACAGATACTTTAAAGTAGAGTGATCAGTAAAGACAACAATAGGCNGCTGCAGCTATTGGTACACCGAGTAGGGAAGAAGATTCACACTTGTCCCTAAATCGAGGAGTGCTTGCTCCACTCGATAATTTCCAATGGTGATGACTATGGTTGGACAACCGGGGTCTTTGAATTTGGGAGGAGTGTTTGTCCTCAATATTGAGCTCACTTGC